TGCCAAAATCTCTGTGGAATATGAAAGCTTTTGGATGCATTAAATAAGTCTCAAACTCAACAGACTGAAAAAGACAGCATAATCTTATTTTTTTTTCCAGGCAACAGAACTGACAGAAACGGATCTGACACTGGCAGTAAAGAAGAGGACTGAAGGCAGCCATCTGCCATGTCAATGTTACAGTCTGCACCTTGCAAGGGGAGGACAGCATTCACACCGCACTCTAGGGAAAGACAGACAACTGACAGTTTACTACTGCAATGTCACCTATATTCTAGGAGGAACATTTGTCACTTACCTGCAACAAAACACCGAAGAGAATGGGTTACAAACTAAGATACAATTTAGTGCATCACAACTAAATACACTATTGCACCCTCAGTCTTTAAACTGTAAGATGGTCAATAACCCTTTTGTGCACCACCATCCAAGTTTCTAGGTTTTAGTTAATAATCAATGACAAATCCCAAGGAATTGGGTCAACATAGTTCATCATTTAAGGTAATTTCTTTGCCACATAAAAAGTGACACAGAACATATTTATAGTTTAAATATCCAAATAAACAATGCAGAAACATTCTATTTTCATCATTATCCATTGACTAGGATAACTAAAGACCTTTTGGTGATGAAAATTTCATCTCCACTTAAAAAACAAAAGCTGAATCCATTTCAATGATAAAATGTTTCTCTACCAGGTATGAAACTGATCCAAGGCACATGGTCAATTGCATTGGATCCAATATTAAATCTATTGAAAGATTTCCTGCATTCCAACATTTACTAACCTTGACAGGAGTAGATTTGCACTCCCTGGGGACATGAGCAGTCAGATTCAACATGTAAAAGGAAAATGTACCAGCAAAGCTGCAAAGACAGTTTTATTTTTAAGGTCAATAATCCTTTGTTCTCAACCTCCCATGCCTCTTGGTTCAGTAAACCAGAATTAATATTAATGCTAAAGCAGAAAGGACAATTTCGAACTGAAGAAACTGATCCAGTGTTACTGCTAGAATTTCACTGATTTGTGATGCTTGATATGCATCCGTTTCCCCACGAACTATGGCAAACCCAAAACACTACTCATGACAAAATGCTGCAAATGTGTCCTGTGGCTAGGAAACCAAGTACTGATTGGTGCAACTCTCATCATTGGTGATGGGCCAATTTTTGAAGATGAATTATAAATGCATTTCGTGCAGCAGCAAGTGGCTAAGATCAAGTGCACTTTTTCTGGTAGTAGATTTGTGCCAATGACAATTTGCAGTGATGCTTAAATATGGAAAAATGCTCCCAGCAGCAGGAGTATTTGCAACCAGAGGATAAATATTTTAGTAATTCTCGATTGAAGGACCAGAATCATGGCGATAAATGAATGCAGTTGGTTGTTGTGATTTGGAATGCCCCACCTGAAAGGGTGGTGTAACAGATTCAAAAGTAACCTCAAAGAGAAACTGATGAAATGACACAGAAATTTTCAGACCTGTGGGGATAGAGAATTGGAGTGAACTTATTGGATAGCTCTTTTAAAGAATCAGCACAACTGGATTCCTTCAACTGGATATCATTTCACAATTTAATTACCATCACCTCAAGAGTAACAATGGATGGCCAACAAACGCTGGCCTTGCCAGCGATACTCACATCACAATAAGGAATGAAAAAGATAGTCTGTGCATGAAACTGATGGCAAGCCTGATTTTGTCCTCAGCCACTATGAACAAATGCCAGCCATATTTAAGCACAGGTCAACAGACTTCCTGTTGAATTTTAAACAGGACTTGATTGAAATTACGGAAAAAACTGTGCAGCACCCCATTCGAAAGCAGTAAGTAGTCTGAAATTGAATCAGACACAGAAATTGAAATAAAGATGGGCAAAGAAAAGGTGGAAGAAGAGAAGAGCAAAGACATCAAAAATTAAGATCTGAAAGAATGAGACTCATCACTTGGGGAAAAAAGTTGTGATAAAGGGAATCTTTCACAGAAATAATACATTAAAAGGAAATTTATTCAAAAACTCAGCAGGTCTGATCCTCCTGAGGAAGGATCATCGGACCCAAAACATTAACCCTGGTTTCTCCCCACAGATGCTGTCAGACTTGTTGAGTCTTTCCAACAATTTCCGTTTTTGTTTCTCATTTACAGCATCTGCAGTTTTTTTCAGTTTCAAAAAGGATACTTAACTGATGGAGAATAGAACAAAGAACAAAGAACAAAGAACGAAGAACGAAAAGAAAATTACAGCACAGGAACAGGCCCTTCGGCCCTCCAACTCTGCACTGATATGCTGCCTATCCTTCCAGGGACCGTATCCGTCTATTCCCATCCTATTCATATATTTGTCAAGATGCCCTTTAAAAGTCACTATCATGTCTGCTTCCACTACCTCCCCCGGCAGCAAGTTCCAAGTACCCACCACCCTCTGTGTAAAAAACGTGACTCATACATTACCTTTAAACCTTGCTCCTCGCACCTTAAACCTATGGCTGCTAGTAACTGACTCTTCTACCTTGGGAAAAAGCTTCTGATTGTCCACTCTGTCCATGCCCTTCATAATCTTGTAGACTTCTATCAAGTCCCCCCTCAATCTCTATCATTCCAATGAGAATAACCCAAGTTTCTCCAACCTCTCCTCATAGTTAATGCCCTCTATACCAGGCAACATCCTGGTAAATCTTTTCTGTACCCACTCCAAAGCCACCACATCCTTCTGGTAGTGTGGCACCCAGAATTGAACACAATATTCCAAATGCGGCCTAACTAAGATTCTATAAAACAGCAACATTACCTGTCAATTTTAAAACTCAATGCCACGGCGATGAAGGCAAGTATGCCATATGCCTTGGTGACGACCTTCTCCACCTGCGTTGCCACTTTCAGTGACTTGTGTACCTGTACACCCACATCCCTCTGCCTATCAGTACTCTTAAGGATTCTGCCATTTACTGTATATCTTCCATCTGGATTAGACCTTCCAAAATCCATTAACTCACATTTTTCTGGTTTAAACTCCATCTGCCATCTCTCTGCCCAAGTCACCAACCGATCTATATCCTGCTGTATCCTTTGACGGTCCTCATCGCTATCTGCAATTCCACCAACCTTTGTGTCATCGGCAAACTTACTAATCAGAGCAGTTACATTTTCCTCCAGATCAGTTATATATATTACAAATAGCAAAGGTCCCAACACTGATCCCTGAGGAACACCAATAGTCACAGCCCTCTATTCAGAAACACACGCTTCCACTGCTACCCTCTGCCTTTAATGACCGAGCCAGTTTTTGTTTTATCCATCTCGCAAACTCACCTCTGTCCTCGTGCGACTTTACCTTCTGTATCAGCCTGCCATGAGGGACCCTGTCAAAGGCCTTACTGAAGTCCATGTAGACAACATCCACTGCCCTACCCTCAATCATCTTCGTCACTTCCTCAAAAAACTCAACTGATTTAGTAAGACACAACCTCCTCTTCACAAAACCATGTTGCTTCTCACTAATACGCCCACTTACTTCAAACTGGGAGTAAATCCTGTCTCGAAGAATCCTCTCCAATAATTTCCCTACCACTGACGCAAGTCTCACCCGCCTGTAATTAGCTGGATTATCCTTGCCACCCTTCTTAAACAAAGCAACAACATTGGCTATCCTCCAATCCTCTGGGACGTCCCCGTAGCCAGTGAGAACACAAAGATTTCCCTCAAGGCCTCAGAAATTTCTTCCCTTGCCTCTCTCAATATTCTGGGATATATCCCATCAGGCCCTGGGGACTCGTCTACTTCATGTTTTTCAAGACCCCCAATACCTCCTCCCTTTTGATCTCAACATAACCCAAACTATCAACACACCCTTCCCCAGACTCATCATCCACCAAGTCCTTCTCTGTGGTGAATACTGACGCAAAGTACTCATTTAATACCTCACCCATTTCCTCTGGTTCCTCACATAAATTCCCCTCCCTGTCCTTGAGTGGGCCAACCCTCTCCCTGGCTACCCTCTTTCTCTTTATATATATGTATAAAAAGCCTTGGGATTTTCTTTAATCCTGTTGGCCAATGACTTTTCATGACCCCTTTTTGCCCTCGACTCCTTGCTGAAGTTTCTTTCGACTTTCCTTGCATTCCACCCTTGCTTCTTGTATTCCCAGCCTCCTAGCCTTGATGAATGCCTCCTTTCTCTTTTTGGTTAGGCTCACAATATCTCTCATTATCCAGGTTCCCTAAACTTGCCATACTATCCTTAATCCTTACAGCAACGTGCCAGTCCTCAGTTCCCAGCAACTTACACTTGAAAGCCTCTCACATGCCAGATGGTGATTTGCTCTCAAACATCTGCCTCCAATCTACATTCTTCAGTTCCTGCCTAATGTTGTTGTATTTAGGCTTCCCCCAATTTAGCACTTTCATTGACAACTACACTTGTCTTTACCAATCAGTATCTTAAAGCTTACTGAATTGTGATCACTGTTCCCGAGCTGCTCTCCTACTGAGATGTCGACCACCTGGCCAGGCTCATTTCCCAATACTAGATCCAATACGGCCCCGTTCCTAGTTGGACTATCTACATACTGTTTCAAGAAACCCTCCTGGATGCTCCTTACAAACTCTGCCCCCTCCACGCCCCAAGCACTAAGTGGGTCCCAGTCAATTTCCAGCTTTATCCAGTCAATGTAATTTGTATACAAGTATACAACAAGATATCTTGCAGTGTAGCTTTTGAAGCGCATTTCAGATAGAATATCCTAATCTCTGCATTAACTATGCATAGTCACTCAAAGATGCTACTCCACTTAGAGAAAGTAAAAATTAGCTTTACTGTCACTTCTGCAAAATCAGTTCCAATTCTTTTTCCCTTTGTAGAAAGCGTTAATGTATCAAAATACAGTTCAAGGTATTTCAATTGGTTGGTGTTAACTGGCTAATGGAAATTTCCTTAGTTGCTTACACAGCTGGCTATTTCCAAAGCAAAAGTTAAATGTTATGCAAAATTCAATTTCTTACCTCATATCGCTCAGGCGGATCCCAATGCACCCAGTCGTAAGTAGAGGCATTCTGCTCACGTATCACGTATCGTGCCCAGGGAGAAATGCGATATAGCTGTTGGCCAGTTGTACACTCTATCGCCACCTTAGAAATAAAATAAAATGCTTATTATTTGCTTTTGCTCCAAATTATTTTGACCAAATACAATAGTGTTCTCTTCAAAGATAACAAGGTGTAGAGCTGGATGAACACAGCAGGCCAAGCAGCATCATAGGAGCAGGAAGGCTGACGTTTCGGGCCTAGACCCTTCTTCAGAAACGGGGGAGGGGAAGGGGATTCTGAAATAAATAGGGAGTCAATGTTCCGAATGTAGACATTGTCGCGGTTGGGGCCAAATTGGGAAGGCCTAAATGTGGACTGTAGTCCATTGGGGATGATCCGGCTCCGTAGGCAGGTACTAAGAAAGGTAATGTGGCTGTAGTACCTTATTTGTTTCAGGACACGGTCGAGCAGTTTCAAGGCCGAAGAGATTACAAGACAGTTGCAGTGGGAGAGAGATCCACCAAGGTTTTTCCAGAGGGAGGAGGGTAACTTCTTCAAGGTACGCATCCTTAGAAGAGGCTTCGCTCAATGTCTCTTCAAGATCAAATGTCAAGCACTACATGCTTGTAGATAATTTTGTTTTTTCGGGCATTCGAGATTTACTTCATGGGGCGTTTTTCAGTTTTCTCTGGCTTCTTTTTCATTCTCATCAACTCATCTATTAGGTGATTCAGTCACATAGTCATTACTACATACTACATTTGAGTTGACATACACTTACAAGAACAGACTTTGAGGAATTCATATAGATTCTTAATCATCAATCTTCCAGAAGTTTTAATTTCCTCTCCACTTATACTTAAATTGGTACAGAACAACAGTTATAAGTTGACAAAAGTTTTTTTTTTCCCCCACAAACATAACTGACATGTGCCTCTACTCAAGAAGAATGCAACCACCCTAAGCTTACAACAGACAAGTAAGATTACTACTAATGCGTTTCTATTATATAGTCACAAAGGTGCAACATCCAAACCAAGTAGTTAATACCCTGTTTATTACAAACCTAGATTTGAAATCTGCGATAAGTTCAACAAACATACATGCAAATATTCAAATTAGGAGCAGTAGGTGGTCATTTGGTTCATCAAGCCTACTCTGCCATTCGGTAAGGTCACAGCTGATCTGATTGCTTCAAATTCCCACCTATCCAGGTAAATTGGCACAATCTTGCTTTTCATAAATCTATGTACTTTTGCCTTAACAACTGACAGTATTCATAACAACAGCACCAGCTACATTTTCCTCCATACAGTAGCTCCTGAACTTATACAGCATTAAGATAGAGATTCCACATTCACTTTCAATTAATTGCCTCACTGGTTTCAAGTTTTCCTGGCTCTTAGTCAGCTGAGCATTCATTTGTTGACACATTTAAAACTGTGTTTCCTCACACCACTGCAGACACCTCTTTCTTTCCCCCAATCCCACTATCTTCTCTGAAGCCTGCAGCAGACAGCATCTTTTCAACTCAGCCAACTGAGAGAAGAAATGGCCTCGTGGCATTATCGTTGGGACTATTAATCCAGAGATCCAGGTTCAAATCCCACCACAGGTGATGGAATTTTAATTCATAAAAAATCTAGAATTAATGCTGATTGCCAGAAAAAAACATCCAGTTCACTAATATCCTTTAGGAAAAGAAATCTGCCATCCTTACCTAGTCTGGCCTACATGTGATTCCAGATCCACAGCAATCTGGTTGACTCTTCAATCAGGATGGGCAATAAATGCTAGTCTACCCAGCGACACTCTCAGCCCATCGATGAAGAAAAAACTGCCATCCCCAGAGTCAGTCTATAGCAATCACCAACACGCTCACCAAGACCTTTCCAGCTCCAATCACAGGCTACTTCTCTCTCACACTCGCTGTCAACTGCCTCAGCAGCAGCAATCGTGGGTTAGAAACACTCTGATTATTAACATTGTCTCCGAGATTCAGTCTCTCTCATATGGTCTAGCTTGGTGTAATTGGTTATTCTATGTTTGATTTTTCCTGGATCATCATGGATTTTTCTGGTGTGAACTCATCTTATGCCCTCATGTATTTGAGTACTGTCATTGACCTATTTTGGCTCCCAGTCTGATATCATTGATTCAAAACAATTTCATCCTGGTTTTAAAATCCCTCTATGACTTTGTGCCTTCCCTACCTATTGAACTGACAAGTGCCTCAAAATGCTGTGCACGCCTGCCTCCAACTGTAGACTCTCAACTTACCCTGGTCTTAAATCACTCCAACATACAAGTACTGATGGCATTAGCATTCAGCATACTTTTTTATGCAGTAGAGTTTCGCTATCAAATTTGCTCCAATGTATATTTGAACAGAAAATGAAATTAAGTGATAGGCAAGGACACTGAGATTTTGACACTTCCAACAAACATATGAATTTTAACATGTCTCTTAATTGTTGAAATAGTACAAAGGAAAGCTGATTGCAGGAATTTTTTCAGACTAAGTACTTTTCTCGCCTACTATATACTATTGATTAATTGCTAAAATAGTGTGTAAAATAATAGATTTCAGCACCATTGAAACATAGTACAGTGAGGACAGCTGTCACTGAAACAGGAAGGTCAACTAATCAGGATACATGATTATGGATAAATAAAAGGCAAACAGCATCAAATATTATTTTTGAGAGAGAACGGGAGTGTGGGGCAGGTTCAGATAGAGGCACAGACGCATTGGATGAAACAGACTTTCTGTATCAGAGACAGTAGGAACTGCAGATGCTGGAGAATCTGAGATAACAAGGTGTAGAGCTGAATGAACACAGCAGGCCAAGCAGCATCAGAGGAGCATCTGAAGAAGGGTCTAGGCCCGAAACATCAGCCTTCCTGCTCCTCTGATGCTGCTTGGCCTGCTGTGTTCATCCAGCTCTACACCTTGTTATCTCAGATTCTCCAGCATCTGCAGTTCCTACTGTCTCTGATACAGAAAGAGTCTGTTTTATCCAATGCGTCTGTGCCTCTATCTGAACCTGCCCCACACTCCCGTTCTAGCCCTACACCTTGTTATCTCTTTCTGTATTATACAGCTGGTCTGATCCAATTGGAGCATCTCTGGATGGAGGTTCTTGTGGAATGGTTTCTGAATGGAGAGCAGAGGAGTAGAGCATCCAGATGTAGACTGGGGATGAGGAGACAAATCCAGGTGGTGATCAGGGACAGCTTTGGAAAGAAAGCAGGAGAGGAACAGATGGAGGGCAAAGGGGTTACTGAAACAGTGCTGCTGAATCATCAGTATTGGATAA